GCCCTTCATGGTGTGATCCCACAGTTCTTGTTCCAGTTTCTGCATCTCGCTCCTTGGGCAGTATTCCTCCATCATCATAACTTTCAGGTCCTCCCAACTCATGGCATTGGCCACAGCTAGAGTCCAGAGTTTTAACGTGGCCGTTCCACCACGACAAGGCCGGGTCCGCGAATGTACACGCTGCATATTTGACTTTAAATTCGTCCGGGAATGCACAGATTTCGAATATGGACTCGGTTTTCTCAAACCATCTTGTCAAAGTGACGACTTTGCCGTCGCCATGATAGGTCCTGGGCTTGCAGTTCATGAACTCTTTGTAGGAGCACATCCGTTGGTGCCCTTGGTTTTCGCCCAGATTGGAACTGTTAGTCTCGTTTCCGCTTCCGTTGCCGTTTCTATTCCCATTACCATTCGTGCCGTTACTGCTGATTTGGGTCATGGTGGCAGCCACTGCGGCTGTTATAGCAGCCTGGAACACGGCAAAGTCCAGCTGTGGAGGTGGCAGTGGTGGAGTTGCTGAGGTCTTGACGACGCGCCTGATGAATCTTCGCGGTGGCATCTTTCTGCCATAATGTTTAAAGGCAGAATGATGATAAGTCTTCAATGAGGGTTATGAGTCGGGCATTACTGTAATGGAATGTCTCGATTATATATGTATTAAGTCTCGTTGTTATTGTAATTTGCAAGAAATTCATAAATGGAATTTAGTATAAAAAGTAAACAATTGCATAACAAATAACAACACCTAATGAATAAAACGCATGCCCATTTCATTGATAATATAGTATTAGTACATAGTTCTGTGAAAATTGACCTTTAAAAAGGTCTACAATACATCAAGAGGATAGAAAATTTTTGACGGCATAACGACCCCTTGAATAGTGTAATCACTTATTCGTAGGGTTGAACCTACATACAGGAAAGAGTAGCACCAACGCTTACTCGTAAATCTAATCGATAACAAAACGTGAGTAGTTTAAGACCTACTCGCGGCATGTGGTCTTTTGTGGGCCACGGGATGAAATCATGGAGGCCTGTATCTCCGCTACCCGGCGCTCAACCGCGATCACCCTCTCTCCAAGAGCCGAGTATCTCTCCTGGTACTCCCTCGTTTCCGCCCGAGCGGTGGTGAGGTCCTCCTGGAGGCGGTCAATGATACTACATGTCCGTACTTAGTCTCTCTCCAGCCGTCGAGACTGTATGGCGGTGACCTCTGCGACAACTCCCATATCCAAGATCCGAATCGACGATGCCCTATTCTGATCCCCGAGATGCGTGATCCGCTGAACCATGACAGGGAGGGCCCTGTCTGCCGGACCTCCGTGACTAAGGTTATAGAAACCTCGCTCCATGCTGTATGGGTAACGCTGATGTTGCTGTCTGCTCCACCTCTCCATGTCCTCCGCCCAACGGGGAGTGGGCCCCTGGTAGCCCTGATGATGTGCGGGAACCCAGGCGACATAGGGTGGATTAATGACTTCGGACTCTACGTCCGAGTCCTCCTCTATCTCCTCCTCGTATTCCTCCTCCTTTGGATCCTCTTTGGGATCCTCCTCGGGATCTTCCTCCATTATCTCCTCAGGATCCTCTTCGGGAACCTCCTCGACCCAACCGCAATTTCCCTGGTTAGGGAAACAGGGGTCTCCAGGCATATGGAATCCTGCCATGATGTCAGTGAAAGAATAGGTATAAGAGAAATACATAAAGGGTTTAAGTGTATGACTCTGTAGTATTCTAAAATACTCCTATAGTATTTTAAACTTTATGTTCGGTTCTTAGAGTTTCTTTGTATGGGGGGTTGGTAAGTTTTAGATTCGTTGTTCACCACGACTATTCCTAAACACATGTTAGTCATATCTCGCATAAATATATTTGATCAGGCTATATTCATCCCGGATATGATTACATAACTATCTAGGATTAATCGTAGCGTCCAACTTATCTTAATACTTTTATATGGTTCTTATTATGACATTGTTCTAGTATGTATGCATGTACGTATACTTTTATAAAAATACTATTATATTTTAAAAGTATACTTCTTAGTCAGAGTGTTTTAGCCCCATTATATTTATAGTTGTATATCTTACATGGTTTGATATACTTAGTTCACTATAAACAATGCTCTGATACCAATCTATCACACCCCAAACCAGAACGGCGGAAACCTCTTGGAGTGGATGACTTCATGTACAGTATCATAACATAATGAATAATAGTGATAAAAGCCATACAACCATCATATTGATAATTAATAAGTTTACATTGTACTCAAAACATTGTTTACTTGATATCAAATACATATGACAAAAATAAATAACGTGACGTGGCGACGCCCCATCCTCAAAAACTCTTTTGATTACCTGTTTACTAATTTCCTGAGAATACAAATGATTTTGAAAAGTATCAAAAATTAAGTTGGTGAGTTCATAAGAGTTTTGTATGAGAAGAATTGGTAACTTTTCCTTGTAAAAATGATAGAGTGTACTTTCAGAAAATCAAATATTTTCATTAACAAATGAGCTGTAAGTCTTATATCCAAAGACTAAAAATGTAAGTAGTGCTGTACTGGATGATAGTCTTATGAAGTTTTATCATTTTATATAAAACTAATTGAATGTATGTTATCCCCGTAAACCAAATGTATTGTTAATACCCCATGTGAGTTATCATAACCATGCTAACGACTAGTGGCCTGCTACGACGTTCTTCAGGCGTCAGAATGTTAGAAATTTGTCACCCTAGACCTGCCGGTCTAACTGTAGCTATCAACTTGGGTGTGGGGTTGTCAGTCCCGTATAGATCTATACACAAGTGTCACGATCTCTTACCGAAATTCTAGTTATAATTCAGAACTTTAGTGTGTACTCTGGTAGGTACGGTGAAGCCAAATGTGTCACAAAATTGTATTAACAGGTTTACATCTAGTGTAATGAAACCCTCAATGAAAGTATTACCCTTCCATAGGGGCCATATAGTGTGAATATATTGATACCTTTAAATAATTATATGATTCGTCCAAAATGATAGTTTAGTATCTATGATTCCCAAACTATACCAATTATAGTTTATTATGAATGTTTGTTAAATCCATTTAAATAATCATTTATATAAATACGTAATAGTTACTTGTCTAGATGTTTTTAAAAGATTATATCATATAAACTTACATCTAACGCAAGTATAAGAAATTGGTATGAAAAGTCCATCTCTAGCTTTTGTTTCTTTTTAACGATATTTACCGGTGACAAAAACAAATATAACTTGGTAAAACTTAATTTTACCCTTCTTGGGGTTTTTACTCAAGATAACTTTATGTGTTTTTAAAATCATATATTTCTAGTTAAAACCCACAAAATAATGTCATAAACTTGTTATAACCACTTTTGTATAAAAATCCATGTTTACATAAAATACTAGATTTTTGAGTTTTCTTTTTGTAAAGTTAACTCCTTGGTATTTTTGTCTAGTTTCAAAATATATGTCCAAAACAACATATTTTGGGTTATATCCCACAAAATGGTGAAATAACTAGAATCTAACCATTTTTGCTAGAGAAACCATAGTTTGTTCATAAAAATCCTTAATCCTTGTAGCTTTGTAGTTTTAACCTTTTCCAAAGAACATATACCATAGTTTATGTTTGTTTTTCTTAGTTTCGAATCACTAAATAACATTCCACAAATAAATGTTCTACAAACAAGTAATAACGATATTTCATGCAAATAATACTTTATTTTAACATAGAAATAAAGCATGCAACATTTGTGTAAATATTCCAAATATTTCTTGTATTCCCCCCACCCACGTGAAACATGAAAAACTGGAAAAATATGGGGGTATGAACTCACCTTGAGTGTTGTTTGTGGTTGGATAGTGGGTGTGGTGAAGTTGTGAAGCTCTTCAAGCCTAGAACACTTGAAGGTGGTTGAAGAACTCTTTGAAGATGGTATTATCCTATGAGTATTAACAGATGATAATGTGTGTAAATAAGATGAAACTAGCATGAAAGTGTGTAGAACACTAGATTAACACGGAATACTTACCAAAAATTCTAAGAATCAACTTGAAGAATAAATCCTTGGAAGGTTTGATCTTGTTTCTTGAGAGAAAAGTGAAGAAGTTTGAAGATGGTGGGAGTTTGGGGGTTCTCGTCCGAAGTTAAAGAGGGGGAGGGTGAAGTGATGTTTGCATTGTTGTGTGTTGGATAATAGCATTGTTATATGTTGTGTAATATTTCGTATTGGGAAAAGATGCATCTGTCACGTCACAATTCAACTCCTTTCTTTTTCTCTTTCCAACCGAAAACACCATCGACCCACCGAAATCACATGGTGATTTCGGTCCAGTACCACCGAAATCATAGAGTTTTCGGTCCTAACCGAGAACTCTAAAAGCGAGATCATAGAGTTTTCGGTCCTAAACCGAAAACTCTAAAAGCAAAGTATAAACCCAAATGTCCTAATCAGTTGACTTTCGTTGACTTGTTGACTTTGGTTGACCCAGAACTGCAGTTGTCACAAATACAGATAATCACATAAGATTTATGTGATCATATGAATTAATCACATATGATGCTGGTGCTTGCAGTAGTAGTAGGTAGTAGGTGATTGTGGTGGAGATGGGTGGTGATGGGGATGTGTAGTGGTGGTTATGGTGGTGGAGGTTGGGTGGGTGGTGGTGATGTGTGGCTGTGGTGGTGGTGGGTGGTAAGTGATGGGGGTCATGGGTGATAAATGGTTGGGTGGTGGTGGTTGGTGAGGGATGGTGGGTGGTAATGGTGGTGAAAGGTGGTGGGGATAGTGGGTGGTGGTTGGTGGGTGATGGTTGTGTTGTTAGTGGGTGGTGGGTGGTGGTGTTGTTGATGGGTGAGTGGTGGCGGGTGGTGGTAATAGGTAGTGGCAGCGTGTGGTGATGTTGGTGGTATTGGTGGTTGGTGGTGACGGTGGTGGTTTTTTTTATAGGTGGTGGGTGGGGGGGGTGGGGGGCGGGGCGGGTAGTTATGATGGGTGGTGGAGCCGGAGTGGTGGTGATGGGTGGTGGTGGTGTGTGGTGATGGGTGTTGGTGGTGGTGTGGATGGTGGTGATAGTGATGGGTGGTGGATGAGGGTGGTGGTGGCGGGCAGTAGTGACGGGTGGTGGAGGTAGATGGTGGTGGTAGATAGTGATGGGTGACAGTGGTTAGTGGTGTGGATGGTGATGATGGGTGGTAGTGATGGCGATGGGTGGTGGGTGCTGGTTGGTGGCGGTAGATGGTGGTGGATGGTGGTGGTGGCGGGTGGTGGAGACGGGTGGTGGTGATAGGTGGTGGAGGTGGGTGGTGGTGCTGGGGGGTGGTGGTAGGTAGTGGCAGGTGGTGGGTGGTGATGGTAGTGGTGGGTGGTGGTTTTAGTGAGTGTGGTGGCAGTAGCTGGTGGTGGTGGTGTTGTGTTGGTAGGTAGTGGTAGGACGGGTGGTGGTGATGGGTGGGGTGGTGTGGTGGCGGTGGTGGTGTGATGGGTGGTTGAGGTGGGTGGGTGGTTGATGGTTGGGTGGTGGTGGTGGTGGGGGGTTGCAGGTGGTTGGTTTGGTGAGTGATGGGTGAGGGTGTGGTAGCGGGTGGTAGTGAGCGGTGGTGGTGGAGGCGGTTGGTGGTGGAGCGTGGTGGTGGTGCGGGGTGGTGGTGGGTAGTGATGGGTGGTGGTGGGTGGTGGGTTGGTAGTGATGGGTGATGGAGGTGGTGGGTGGTGGTGTTGGTTGGGTGGTGAGTGAGTGTTGGTTAGTAAGTTTTTTTTTAGTTGGTTGTAACTATTTTTTTGATTTATATGAATATTATTTTATAATTTTAATTAAAAAAAATTATGTGGTCCAAATTTGTTCTCAAATGTTCTCGCAATAAGAAATGTTTTCGATTGAACGCTTTCCTATATATATCTATATATATATTATATTATTATATATATATCATATATATATATATATATATATATATAATAAAGAAACCTTCAGTGATCACACCTTAATGTATTTTTGTCGAAATACATATAATAGTTGATTAAAGAAATTAATACATATGATACTTGATTAAAGAAACAATTTGAAAGAGACACACATATGATCCTTTACATAAGATAATGTTGTGACACCTTTATTTTAAACAATATACAACTCAATTAATTTCGCAATAGGATTTGATGGGGCACTCGGATTTCATCCCTTCACTGGTGAGTAGATAATGGAGGTACTTGTAGTGATCAAAATCCTTGAACTGTGGTGGGTGGTCCTCATCAATGAGTTTTTGTGGTATCTGTATATCCAAACCCCTAATAAAAGTAAATTGCCCCAACGAATATCGCTCTTGGTTTCCCTGCATGATAACCCTATGACACGGTGCATGAATTCTTCCATTTGACCATGCCTAAGTGAATGAAAATACCTTAAATGTCACATATGCACAATATATAACATTGATGAATAGTTAATCAACATATTGCTACCTACCATGCAAACGTCACCTGCCATGACTATGAACGATGAAGGCAAAGGATCAACTTCGATCCACTGTCCTTCCTTAGTCTTTATCTGCAGACCCTTTACTTGTTTGTCATGAAGAATTGTCATAAAACTAATATCAGTGTGAGGAAGCATGCCTAGAGGATTTCCCTCATCCTCTTCAGGGCATAAGTACTTCATGAATCGAAGATTTTGAACTGAGGACCCAAGGAGCGTCTCACATTGTTCTTTTATTCCATAGCTTTTTGCTACCATCCGCATCACTATCTGATATAGTTCTGCTACAGCTTTGGAGAACATCAAAGTACTTTTACTGAAAAACCGGTGTTTAATCAAGGAATTATAATTACTAGATGTAATTGAATTTAAGACGTAAAATAAGAAACTATACCCAAAATTTTCATTTCCAGAAGGCCACATGAGTTTTGTGAAGAATTCAACTCCTTCTGTAGTTGTTGCGTTCTCAATGCCTATGCTTTCGTAAAGAGGCATGATGGGAGTTTTACCACTGTAAGCATGATATGGTGTATCTGAAGTGCTTAGGACTTTGACTTTCGTAGGAAGATCAAATACATCTCGTGATGCAAGGAAAATCGCGTCGTCAAGTTCCTGAGACACGCCGTCGTACGTGGCTATGAAAACCCCGTGTTCTTCAAGCGCATGCATAGCTTCACTACATGTTGTGTTCCATGAACTTGAGTTAGGGATTAGGTTTTTCAACGAAAAGTCGATAACAGATAGCTTCGGTGGTGTCATCTCTTTTCAAACCTTGGATATCTTTTACGATGTATTTTTCTGTCTTCATATCTATTTGGTTTATATAGTTGGAAAACGGATTTTATGTATGTCCCATATTCCGTATATAAGATATTTCTATGCCTTTTCATTATTTGACAATACACGTTTTTCTTTGAGGAAACGGTACGCACAATTTAAGTTACGGATATTAATTAATGCACGTAATCATGCCTAGAAGAGATTATTTTTATAATTACTAAAGAAAGTCATTGCTAAAACGAGACTTTTACCAAAAACAGGTGATTATCAATTTTATATCCCAAGCCACGATAGTTCCAATTCTAAATACAAAAGTATGGTAATCTTGTAGACCCCAGCTATCCATTTTATGTTGAAAAAATAAATCAAATCCATTACTAATTTACCAAATGGCCCTTATCGTCTTCTCATCCCTTCTATCGTCATCACGAGTCTACTTCTTACTCGTCACATCTCTATCCACAGGCGATCTCCACCTGCCAATCTCCGACTTTGTCTTCCTTAATTTTCCTATTCGTTTCTACCAGCAACCACCTCCTGCTATCTCCGATCGACACCTTCTCATCTTCTTTCCATCTTCATATCTCACTATCTCGAGCAGCCACAAGATACAAAACACTTAATATGTTTTGGTTTCATAAAACACGACACTTAGGGAAAGGTATCTACACAGGGCAGTTTGGATTATAACAGAGTTGTGGATGTGATGTGTGGATTTTCTTATTCGATTTTATTTTTATTTTTTTTATTTTAGTAAAAACAATTACTAAATCAATTAAAATCATATTATAGTTCAATACATATTAACGGAAGACAAACGGGCAACAAGTTGTGCCACTAGTCCTTTCTGGATAACAAAACTAATTCTTTTGAAAACGTTTGTGGATTTAGGAGATATAACATTAAAATGCATGATCCTTTGGACTCTGTTGAGGAGCTCCACCGCCTTTAGTGCGAGAAAACAAAATGTATCAAAATACAAAAGGTACAAATACATGTTGATTTTCTATACATGTATTCTCGTGCTTTGCTACTTTGCACGCAACGGCTTTCAAAGCGGCATGCCCTGCTGTGAAACCACCGCTCCTCAAACTGACGAGAGAAGAGACCCTAGTAAGATCCACACAAGCGTGCTTCCCTCCTACCTATCCAAAGACCAAAATGTTAGCCGACTTGAGTGTGCATCTTCCATCCTGCGGGTCCGTCAAAAGTTCACTAGCGTTTCTTTCTTCACGGAAATACCAGCACACCGACAAGCATCAAAGAGAACATCCATAACCACATCATGTCGGTACTTAAAACCAGGGGAGCTCTCTACAATGAACCGCATGTTCCCCAAAAGTGTCCAAACATGCCTTGCGGAAAACTGAGCATATCTCGTCAATTGGGAATAGAGGAATCATAAGGCGGTAACGAAGGATAGTTCGGTACTCCACAGGAGACAAATGCTGGACGAGGTCATCAATAGGAATAGTTAGCAGAAAATCCTGAGCATGAGGTGCGCGAAGACACTCAAAACTGCTTTATGTCTAACAGTCATGTCGAAGTCGACTTCCATATCTTTGACGATTTTGCTAAAAAGGGCACACGCCAATGCTTTTTGGGATTTAGGGGGGGGGGGGGGATAAGTTAAAGAACATAGGTAATCAGAGTCCATACCATATATGCCACTGTCATGTAAGATGTGGTCTTGTAATGTCCAAGATTGGGCCCTCGAGTCTACAAATGCGTAGGAGGAAACTTCGTATGCTGAGTACAAACCCAAACCACCGAAACGAATAGGTAAGGAAGCCAGGCGCCACTGGATGTCTCCAAAGAAGGGGCCTCCACATACCACCATATCCTCGATAGACCCGCACAATCCTTTTTCAAAGAACAAAGTTGCCTCTTCTATGTGCACCAGTTGGCATGTCCTTAAACCAAAGAAAAGTTTAGCAATGGCCATACATGATCATAGCAAAAGGAGCTCACTCTACGGGTCACATAGTTGTGGAAGAAGACCCATCAAATCAACAACATTAACCGCTCTCTTCATTGCCAACCCACTAATAAACCCTGCGTCTCTGCTAACACCCCCTCCCAAGGAGCTTCACCCCCAAAGAAGGTCTCCCTATATCTGTTGGGAATAGATCGGAACGAAGCTTCATACCATCACATGATCATGAGGGCCAATAAATCTTCGTTTTCTAGATGTTCAACTCAAGACCCAAGCTTAGACCATTCACCCGAATAATGATTAACACTCTAGCCATCTCTTATGAATCCTCAATGACAGTCCCATCATCTAGATATCAAGCATGGAGAAGGAGCTTTCAATTGTCTCTAATCTTGTGCACAAGCGGGTGCAAAACGAGGGCAAAAAGAAGAGGACCCAAGGGGTCACCTTGCTGCACCCCAGTGGCAGACCATATATGTTGGTCTCCTATATAAAGTCTCGCTGCTTGCCCGTATAAGAAATTCACCCACAAAGAAATAGAAGGGCACATCCTCCTAACCTCGTGGAGCAAGGCTGATCTATCCACCAGGTTAAAGGCTGATCTTATTCGAATTGTTCCAAACAAAACCCACCGTTGATGTATGTGTTTGCGTTTTGAATAACAGGCGGTGGGCAATGAGTTTCTTCTTTCTTAAGAGTGGCAATGGTCGGCGCGGTATGTATTTCGTTCAGTCGTTCCTTATTTCTCTTGATTTTTGATGAAATCGATCCAAATGCTATGAAATCAGCGATTTCTTGTTGAAATCGATGGTTTATTGTTGAAATCGGTGATTTATCCTCCACAGTTGATGAAAATGTTTGTTGATTTCTTAATAGAACATGAACAACGATGCGTTTCTTTTCCTTCCCTTCGTTCCTCTATACTGTGTTTTTATCTCTATCTATACTTTTCTTTAAACTTTTTTTCTTTGCCTCAACGTTTGTTCTTTGTGTTTTTTTTTCAATCAAAGAAAAGGATATACAAGGATTTTCGTGATGGACAATTTTATATATGTTGATGATATAGCAGAGGCATTCCACCAAGATCCACTACTTTCTTTGCTTCAATTTGGTGGTAGGTGGGTGAATAGGGTTAGTGAATAGAAGTTGATGCTGTCGTGAAGGCTGTGGTGATGATGATAAAGATCGATGATAGGTGGATGCTTGGTAATGGTGTATGATGGCGATGGGGATGATGGTTGCGTGTGATGAAGAGGGTAATGGGCTTTTGGATGTTAATGGTGAAGATGTGGCTGGAGCACGGTTCTAAATGGCGTGAGGCGTAGTGTGGTGGCAAGGCCAAACCTCAAGCTTAACGAGCCATGGCGAACCATGGTGTTTTTCAAGGCGTGATGTAAGGCGGCGATTTTGTATTAATTTAAAATTATATTATCACATAAATATAAACTTATATCAAATATAGCTACTTTTTAGAAGTGTTAGATCAATAACTAATAACAAAAACTTAATAAAAAACACAATACTTGAATCTCTGATTAGAAAAGACATAACAAAGAGTAAAAAAATGTGTCTCAAACGAAAAAACACGCGCCATGGCACGCCATATCACGCCTTGCCACGTGTTACACCTAACAACAACGTTATGAGGTTTTTCGTAACGGCGAAGCCACGCCTTACACTATGGCACGCCTTGGCGCACCTTTTAGAACACTGGACTGGAGTAAGGGGATAATGGGTGGATTGATAATTCATAGTCAACTATGTGATGTATGTATGCTAAAATTTAAGGTTCTTGATGCAAAAGTTGTACAAGAAGCTCTTCTTCTCAATATGAGCTTCATGGTCGCCAATTGATGGTATTGGTGAGACGAAAATGTCTAGATTAGCAACGTTTTTTCATTCACATGTTCAAGAGCTAAAATGATATGTGGACATAATGAAGAGGCTATTGAGAATATGCTCTTCAAAGGTCTGGTGTTAATTTTTAGCATCCTACTCGAATGAAGAAATTTTGACTTTTTTGATAATCGAAGTATCAAAATTAATTCAATTTGGCCACTGAAAATATGATCACGATAAATTGGACCTTAAATTCTGAGTTTTAACTCGTTTTGCTATTTACGACCTCCTGTAGCCGGTTGGTTACATGGTTTTCCCGCCTATGTGGCATCCTAAATAAGACTCTAAACTTATGATCATTACAAATTAGATCCCGAACTTTGAAAAAAATTTAGAATTTTTTTTTATTAAAATTAAACTTTTTTTAAGTCAAAAGTAAACTCGGTTTTAAGTTTTTTTTTGCGTATTTCATTTTATTTTATTTTTCGTATTGGTTTTATTTATTTTTCGTTTTTTTTTTTGTTATTTTCATCAATTTGATAATTTTTCTTTTATATTTTTCAAAAGTGTAAAGTGTATGAATATATAAGAGTATATTATAAATTTTGGCATTTGAGTTTTTTTATTCTATATTTTTATAAGTTTCGTTATTTATGGTTTTTCTAATGTTATTTTTATTTTATTTTTTTTATTTTGATTCGAGCATAAGTTCAAAATAATGAAGAAAATATAAAAGTTGGATGAAAATTACAAATACTATATGCTAGGGCTCAAATATGTAATTTACTAAATTTTACGTAGGCTTAATATAAATAATTGTTAAATAAGGTTATACATGATAATAACCACAATATATGTTTTCAATTGTTTGTTATAAAATTAGAATAAATAGAATTACATATAAATGCTTACTAAATTTATTATTTTTGGTGTAAACTTAATGTCAACATGAATAAATAAAGAACGAAAAACATAAATAAATATAATTTTTTTTAAAGATTTAATTTTTTTTAACTGAGTTTAGTTTTACCCAAAAAAAAAAAAAAAAAAAACTTAAAACCAAGTTTAGTTTTAATAATTAAAAGAAAAAAATCAGAGTTCGGTTTTCAATTTTAAGATAATCACAAGTTCAAGGTCTAATTTAGGATGTCATATAGGCATATGATCCTGATAAATGGCTACATGAGGTTGTAACAGGCAAAACAAGTCAAAACTCAAATTAAGGATCCAATTTTGGTTGATTAGATCTTCAGTTGCTAAAGCGAGTTATTTTTGAGACTTTGATGGTAAAAAAAGTCAAATCTCCTTATTTTTAAAGCACTCTACTTTTAAAGTTCAGACCTATTTAAAGCATTACATACCATTTTTAGGATTCTTTTTGGAGTATGATGTCGTAATAAGGAAAATGAAAATCTTGAAAGTATAATGTTGTAATTGAAAGAAATAATACAAAATAAAATGAATATTTTTACCATTTAACACAACAATTAGAAGGTTCCAACCAAACATTTTAAAAACTCAGATCTTAAAAAGAAAATTTCAAGTCTTTATAAAAATTCAAAGCTCTTAAAAATTTAAATCATGCCAAACAGCCCTTAATGGTACTAAAGTCCATAAGTTTACACGTTAATTTTTAATTTACCCATTTCTTTTTGTTATATATTTGCCATTAATTTAAAAAAAACCATTTCTTAAGTTTTAGTAGCTGACCAACAGGTTATCATTGATATGAAATGTATAAATGAGACGAAACTGCTGACGTGACATATTGATTCAATACAAGAATAACTATCTAAGGGGACGACATCCTAACGACAGATGTCGTCGCTAGAAGCAAGGCTATACCAACGACAAGTCGTCGGCATCACTTTTGCCAACTTTAACCAATCTAGTTTGACCGGAAACGTTATGCATACGACATCGTTGACATAGCTTCCGCGGGAAACGAAAACGCGGTTTTCTGAAATTCTATGCCGACGACATGTCGTCGGTATATGTTCGAAGAGTTGGAAGGAAACCAAGCATCAACAATAATTTATTTCCAAACGTAATAAAGCTTCCACATCTCGATTTTCAGATAATTCCCAAGTCATTAACCCAACAAGTGCAACAACAAACGCAACAAATGCAATATATGCAACAACAAATGCTACAAATCCAACAAATGTATAATAACGCATTTGCGTCCTTAATTCCTAACTTCCAACCATTGCGACAATTTACCCAAAATACCCCCGGGACCCAACCAACGAACCCGAGGACAACGAGAACAATGAAGATTTTGATTGATCTTTTTGTTATTTTGAACATGAAGACTTGTTTTGTTTTTGTTATTTTTTGTATGTATGGTAGATTTTGACGTCTTATGGTTATTAAATGTTTGATATTATTTTGCATGTACACTGTATATATATATTGGGTTTGTTTTTAAAAAACAGGTTTTATAAATATAACAAATCTGTGAAAAATATTTTTTTAAAAAAATCTTATACCGAAGACATGTCGTCGGTATAGCTTTTAACAATAAAAACGGTTTGAAACCTTTCAAGCGACATGTCGTCAGCATAGTTATACCCATCCCGACGACAAGTCGTTGGTATAGCTGTCTACAACCTCCTGTAGCCAGTTGGTTACATGGTATTCCCGTCTATGTGACATCCTAAATAAGACCCTAAACTTATGATTATTATAAATTAATTAGTCCCCAAACCTTAGAAAAAAATTTAGAATTTTTTTATTAAGATTAAACTTGTTTTTTTTTTTTGCGTATTTCATTTCGTAATAGTTTTATTTATTTATTTAATTTTCATTTTTTTGTGTTATTTTCATAAATTTGATAATTTTTCTTTGATATTTTTCAAAAGTGTAAGTGTATGAAATATATAAAAGTATATTACAGTTTTTGGACTTTGAGTTTTTTTTTTATTCTTTTTTGTTTATAAGTTTTGTTATTTATGGTTTTTCTAAAGTTTTTTTTATTTTGATTCGAGCAAATGAAAAAAATTATAAGTTCAAAAGAATGAAAAAATATAAAAAAAAAGTTGGATGAAAATTACAAATATAAATATACTAGGCCTAAAACATGTAATTTACTAAATTTTAGGTAGGCTTAATATAAAGAATTGTTAAATAAGGTTATACATGATAATAACCACAATATATGTTTTCAACTTATATAAATTGTTTGTTTTAAAATTATAATAAATAGATTTACATATAAATGCTTACAAAATTTATTATTTTTGGTATAAACTTAATGTCAACATGAATAAATAAAGAAAAAAACATAAATAATTATAGAAAAAATAGAAAATATAAAAAAATAAAAAAATAAAACCGAGTTTAGTTTAGACTAAAAAAACAAAAAAAAAAACTTAAAATCAAGTTTAGTTTTAATAATTAAAAAAAAAATCAGAGTTCGGTTATCAATTTTAGCATAATCACAAGTTCAAGGTCTAATTTAGGATGTCATATAGACAGACGAACGGAGTAAGTGGCTACATGAGGTTGTAACTGGCAAAACAAGTCAATACTCAAATTTAAGGTCCAATTTTGCTTAATCAGATCTTCACTTGTTAAATCGAGTTATTTTTTATGCATTCTATTTTTGATGTCCCGACCAATTTAAAGCATTACATACCATTTTTAGCATTATACGTTCAGATTCATTTTAGAGTATGATGTGTTAATAAGCAAAATGTTGAAAGTATAATGTTGTAATTGAAAGAAATGATACAGAATAAAATGAACATTTTTATCATTCAACACAACAATTCAGAGGTTCCAACTAAACATTTTAAAAATTCAGATCTTAAAAAAAATCAGGTCTTTTTAGAAATTCAGAGATCTTAAAATTTTAAATCATGCCAACCAACCCTTAATGGTACTAAAGTCCACAAGTTTACACGTTAATTTTTATTTTACGCATTTATTTTTGTTATTTATTTGCCATTAATTTAAGAAAAAACAATTTTCTTAAGTTTTAGTAGCTGACCAGTAGGTTATCACTGATGTGACATGTATAGATGAGATTGAACTGCTAACGTGACATATTGATTAGATCGTCACATCAACACGTATATTAAAAAAATAAAGCAACTAACAATGAGATTAAAACAAAACTGTTGGAGCCAAGGTTCAAACTCCCACTGCTAAGCTTCATATCATGCACCTTTGCCACTAAACTACGAGCCTTTGGTTGTTTTTCAACACCTTTCCGTTTGAAAGAATCAGGTACTTTGTTGCCTCTTCTCTTTCGTCCCTCTCTTATTTTGGTTAATTTGTCTTTAAGAAATTTATGCTTCTTCTCACTACAAGAAAATAGGGGGTTTTCCTACAGAAAATGGCCACAGAAAATTTTGTAGCTAATTAGATACGGAATCGCTACGGATCAGCTACATAATGGGATGCCCTAATATAGTAACAGAATAGCTACGGAATAGCGACAAATGCTAATCCATAGCGATTCCGTAGCTAATTAGCTGCGGAATAGCAACAAAGGCTAATATGTAGCTATTCCGTAGCTAATTAGCTACGGAATAGCTACGGAATAGCAACAGATGTTAATAAGTAGCTATTCCGTAGCTAATTAGCTACGGAATAACTACAGACTAGCGATAGAAGAAAATGGCTACAGAATAGCTACGAAACACTGACAGATTTATAATTTCCAATATTATTATTATTATTACCATTAATATTATTTTTCATTATTCGAGTCTTAATTTTTTTTTGTATCATTTTTCTTACATATTTAAGACAAGAACAATTAAAAATCATACTAATAATACTATTAATAATAATATTTATAAATATCATAATAATATATAATAATTGTAACGAATATGTTTAACACACAAACAAACGATTAAACGAAAAAAACTACGTTTAACACATCAATAAGATTAAATAATCTATGTTTAATTTATAAATAATGAAAAATGATGATAATAAAGGGAAATATGTATATTTGTATTTGTATGTATGTATTTATGTATGTATGTATGTATGTATGTATGTATGTGTATGTATGTGTATGTACGTATATGTGGGTGCGTATATATGTAAATGTATGTATGTATTTTTATGTATGTATGTATGTATGTATGTGTATGTATTTATGTATGTATGTATGTATGTGTATGTATGTGTATGTTTGTATTTGAATGTGTATGTGTATGTGTATATGTATGTGTAGCTATAATTTAGCCACGGGCCATTATGCTACATGCATTTTTCCATAGCAATTCCATAGTTATCCGCTTATAGCTACGGAATAGCTACAGATTGTGCTGTAGTTATTGCACCAGTTTTCTAGTAATGTCTTTTCTTCATGTTTACGGTTATTGACTAATTTTTTCACAATATTGACAAAGAAATGAATGATGAAAACTTGGGTTTGTGTTTCCATTTCAAGTATGTTCACATATTTATGTGTAGTCTTGCATCTCTTCTTAAAATTTAGTTTTACTATGTTCTTATATATAATAATTTTTGCTTCATTGGATATTGTATTAATTATTGATTTCTTAGAACTCGAAATGAAAGTTTTAGTTATCGAAATTAGTTATTGGTTTCTTACAAGAGGAGTGATTTTATGATAAAAGATAAACATATTTGCATTTTTCCTGCATATATAATAATTATATGTGACAAACTTAGCATGACCTAATGGTGGTAATCAAAGCTTATGTCGTAGTTGTAACACCTTTATTTTGAAGATGTTTACACAACTTATATGTATTTATTCTATAAATACTATTTGAATAGAGAAAAAACTTGAAAGAGACATGCATATGATCCAACAAACATGTGGTGGCATCTTTATTTTGAACAATTACAGCCTCAATTATGATGGGGCACTCTGATTTCTTCCCGACGTTGGTGTATCGATGGTAATGGATGTACTTGTAGTGATCAAATTCCTTAAACCTTGGTGGGTGGTCTTCATCAATGAGTTTTTGAAGTATCTGTATGTTCAGACCCCTAATAAAAGTAAATATCCCCAGCGAATATCGCTCTTCTTTTCCCTGCATCATAACCATGTGATACGGTGCTTCGATTCTTCCATTTGTCCATGCCTAAGTGAATGAAAACACCTTAATTTCTTACATATATATGCACAATAACATTGATGAATAGTTAAATCAGTATATATTGATACATACTGTTGAAAATATGTTATATTTTTACAATCTCATATTTATTAGAAAGTAATTTATTATAAAGGGTGCATTGTGTAAAGATTGTGTTCTGCAAGGGGGTTGAGTGTATGCATGTTCTTATGGAAACACGCGGGTTGTAATTCGGGTCAAGTTGGTTCGGGTTATGTCCATATTTTGGGATCCAGAGTATAAAGAAAGAGAGAGAAGATGTTGGGGTCATTCGTTCAGTTGAAGAGATCAAATCTAGGGTTTTCTCTCTTGAGGGTTCTTTGATGTTAGATAATTTTTTGCATCTATTTTGTCGATCGTGTGTTCATCTATTAGAGTTCTGTAACTAACTCTTTATCAAAGTATATTGTTTAGAAGTTGTTCAGGTTGAGTGAAAGATTGAGAGATTTTTGTAGTGAGTTTTGAGTTGTAAGTAACTTGAAAACCACTTGTTTCTTGATCCTCAAATGATATGAGAAATGGTGATGTTGGGAAATTTGTCTTGTGTGTTTTTAACACATACCATGCAAACATCGCCTGCCATGACTATGAACGATGAAGGTGAAGGATCAACTTCGATCCACTGTCCTTCCTTAGTCTTTATCTGCAGACCCTTTACTTGTTTTTCATGAGGAATTGTCATGAAACTAATATCAGTGTGAGGAACAACACCGAGAGGATTTCCCTTGATCGTCCCCCCTGAGGGCATAAGTACTTCATGAATCGAAGAACATGAACTGAGGACTCAAGGAGCGACTCACAAATTTCTTCTATTCCATAGCTTTTCGCTACCATCCACATCACTATCTGATATAGTTCTGCTACGGCTTTGGAGAACATCAAAACACTTTTACTGAAAAACCGGTGAATCAAACGAATTATAATTACTACATATATATTGAATGTAAGACGTAAAATAAGAAACCATATATATACCTAAAATTTTCATTTCCAGAAGGCCACATGAGTTTTGTGATTTTTTCAACTCCTTCTGTAGTTGTTGCGTTCTCAATGCCTAAGCTTTCGAAAAGAGGCATGGAGGGAATTTGCTCAGTGTAACCATGATATGGTGTGTCTGTAGTGTTTAGGAGTTTAACTTCAAGCGCATACATAGCTTCACTGCATGTTGTGATCCATGAACTTGAGTTAGGGATTAGGTTTTTCAACGAAAAGTCGATAACAGAAAAGCTTTGGTGGTGCCATTTTTTCAAACCTAGGATTCTAATACGATGTTATCTTCAAACCAATTTCTTATATATATATATATATATATATATATATATATATATATATATATATATATATATATATATATATATATATTGGAAAACAGATTTTTTCTGTCATATTTGACATATATATGCACATTACGTGATGGATATTAATGCACGTTTGCATATGCCTAGAAGAGATTGCAAAACTCAAGCAAACGCGTTGGTCCCATACCAAACCCAATTTTGGTCCCATTCCGAAAGCAATGCAATAACCGAGATTTCATTCAGTTAAACGTTACGTGTGAATCCACACGTGTTTTTTCCATGGAGTGTTGTTGCTAAACTGTGACTTAAGTTAACTATTTAAACAAATTTTATAAAATTAACAAAAACCCATTATATATATATATATATATATATATATATTATATATATATATATATATATATATATATATATATATATATATACTATTAGGGTGCCCGCGCGATGCAGCAATGAAAAATAATTTATTTTGGTGATTAGTAAGGATATAGCAACAACTAGTACCGAATCCTTATCCCGTATCGGTGGCATGCCAGAACCGATACCAAATTTATGATGGTACTCGGTACTCTTATATTATCAAATTTAGGATTCGATATCGTCGTATAGAAAACGGGTACCAGATACAGTAATGTTTGTTCGGTTCGGTGCTCGGTATCGTTTTTTATCCATTTTGGCATTCAAGATTCTCGTGTCGGTACCGATTCCGTCCAATTTTTATCTCTAGTCATTTGTTTTCTTCAAGATGTTTTGAATAAAACAAATATACATTGCTAAATCCAAATGAACACTAAAATATATAAAAGTCACTGTTACAAAATCAAATAAAAATGTTTAATAAATAAACCGTCTTTAATAAAATCAACGAAACTTATGCATTGTCCAAGAGTATTAAAACTTTCCGTACATGTTATACTACCTACTTGACAATAATTATTCAACCTAGAGAAAAATAACATATCTCAACTAATTCGAACAATAATAAACTAACATCAGATTTATTTAAACTCCAAATCATCATGGAGGGAAAATCGTCCAAATTTACCAATTCTCAAAACAGTAGAAAATCTATAAAACATCTCATTACCACGGAGACCTCTAACATTAACATCCAAATTCATCCACAAACTTGGTAATATAAGTAAACAACTAAATTTGATTCTCACGCTAGATGATTAAATTTAATCTTGTGTTTTGATCTTGTCTTTTTAGTCTTCTTGCCAATCAAGCCTTCAACAGTTCTTCTCAATATTTCGGTCGCTATATAGTCAGTTTTTCTTGATTCAAGTCTCAAGAGTCAAGCAATCAACAACCAATCAAGATACTTAATTTCTGTCAGCTGTAATGGGAAGCAAACAATTAAAAAGATCAATGAAGCATGTATATATTTCATATACACACACTTCAAAGGACCTGTAAAACATAACCACAACCATCACATGTTATAACCTTACCTTTGAAGTGTTGACACAGAAAGAAACAAAAGAGTAAAGGACAAACTTGAAAACCAAAGGTCTATTATGTAGCTATCACTTAAAAAGGAAAATGTTTTTATAATGGTACTTTGTTGTGTTAAGCTTTCTGAACCCAAATCAGTAGAAAAAAATAGTGATAAGCTTTTAATTTTTCTAGTCTTCGTGTGATCAAGACGTAACACATCAACCTCAACATTTTTAGCAAAAACACATATTAACATATATAAACTACGACATGAAAACCAATAAAAGATTGAACTGAAACTAATTTTGCAATAAAAAAATACAAACATTGTACCAAATAGTTTGTTTGAATCTTAGATCCATTATAAACTAAACCTTCAGATTTGATCACTTAAACTAAAAACTGCAGATGTGATGGCATTTTAGAAGCAAATCTGAAGTAAAACATACACAAAACACAAACATACAACAAATTAAGTACAAGAAGTAGTGGGTCTTTTAAAAATAGAAATATATTTGAACTGATACAAGATTCTTTCAGCTTAATCAACTTCAACATTCTCTTCATTTACATTTTTCAAAGGCGTAATTGATTTGAAATAAACAAAAATACTTTTGAACTAATACAACACTTCTTGCCATGTTCAAGCCTCAATAATTCGGGTTCAAATGATTCTCAAAGCTGGATTGTTGACTCAGGAGCCAATCAACATATGATAGCTTCTGAGTCACAACTTAGAGATGCTGTTTTAACTTCTGTTTTTCTAATAAATAGAATGCCCACCTCTGTCTTAAATGGTCAATCACCTTATGAACTTGTTTTTCAAAGAATTCCTAGTTTTGATCATTTAAGGGTTTTTGGTTGTCTATGTTTTGCTGTTAAGCCAAATGTTTCTGATAAATTGTCTGAACGTGCTGAAAAATGTATTTTTCTAGGATATTGTTATGATAAAAAGGCTTATAAACTTCTTAGTTTGGATACTAATTCTTCTTTTGTATCCAGGGATGTGAAATTCTATGAATATGTTTTTCCATACAAGTTAAAATCAACTTCTGTTGATAATGTTTCAAACAATTTTGGCCCCAGTGATCCTTTTTCCTATGATGAATTTAATAATAATGAATATATAAATGATTATATTAATCTTGATGAGCTGAGAGTAGAGTCCCAGTTGGATGGCGCTGATGCAGCCATTGGGAAAAGATGCATCTGTCACGTCACAATTCAACTCCTTTCTTTTTCTCTTTCCAACCGAAAACACCATCGACCCACCGAAATCACATGGTGATTTCGGTCCAGTACCACCGAAATCATAGAGTTTTCGGTCCTAACCGAGAACTCTAAAAGCGAGATCATAGAGTTTTCGGTCCTAAACCGAAAACTCTAAAAGCAAAGTATAAACCCAAATGTCCTAATCAGTTGACTTTCGTTGACTTGTTGACTTTGGTTGACCCAGAACTGCAGTTGTCACAAATACAGATAATCACATAAGATTTATGTGATCATATGAATTTAATCACATATGATGCTGGTGCTTGCAGTAGTAGGTGATGGTGGTGGAGATGGGTGGTGATGGGGATGTGTAGTGGTGGTTATGGTGGTGGAGGTTGGGTGGGTGGTGGTGATGTGTGGCTGTGGTGGTGGTGGGTGGTAAGTGATGGGGGTCATGGGTGATAAATGGTTGGGTGGTGGTGGTTGGTGAGGGATGGTGGGTGGTAATGGTGGTGAAAGGTGGTGGGGATAGTGGGTGGTGGTTGGTGGGTGATGGTTGTGTTGTTAGTGGGTGGTGGGTGGTGGTGTTGTTGATGGGTGAGTGGTGGCGGTGGTGGTAATAGGTAGTGGCAGCGTGTGGTGATGTTTGGTGGTATTGGTGGTTGGTGGTGACGGTTGGTGGTTTTTATAGGTGGTGGGTGGGGGTGGGGGTGGCGGGTAGTTATGATGGGTGGTGGAGCCGGAGTGGTGGTGATGGGTGGTGGTGTGTGTGGTGATGGGTGGTGGTGGTGGGTGGATGGTGGTGATAGTGATGGGTGGTGGATGAGGGTGGTGGTGGCGGGCAGTAGTGACGGGTGGTGGAGGTAGATGGTGGTGGTAGATAGTGATGGGTGACAGTGGTTAGTGGTGTGGATGGTGATGATGGGTGGTAGTGATGGCGATGGGTGGTGGGTGCTGGTTGGTGGCGGTAGATGGTGGTGGATGGTGGTGGTGGCGGGTGGTGGAGACGGGTGGTGGTGATAGGTGGTGGAGGTGGGTGGTGGTGCAGTGGTGGTGGTTAGGTAGTGGCAGGTGGTGGGTGGTGATGGTAGTGGTGGGTGGTGGTTTTAGTGAGTGGTGGTGGCAGATGGTGGTGGGTGGTGGTGTTGGTAGGTGGTAGTGACGGGTGGTGGTGATGGGTGGGGGTGGTGGTGGCGGGTGGTGGTGATGGGTGGTTGAGGTGGGTGGTGATGGTTGGGTGGTGGTAGGTGGTGATGGGGGTTGCAGGTGGTGGTTTTGGTGAGTGATGGGTGAGGGTGGTGGTAGCGGGTGGTAGTGAGCGGTGGTGGAGGCGGGTGGTGGTGATGAGTGGTGGTGGTGGTGGGTAGTGATGGGTGGTGGTGGGTGGTAGTGATGGGTGATGGAGGTGGTGGTGGGTGGTGTTGGTTGGGTGGTGAGTGATGTTGGTTAGTAAGTTTTTTAGTTGGTTGTAACTATTTTTTTGATTTATATGAATATTATTTTATAATTTTAATTAAAAAAATTTTGTGGTCCAAATTTGTTCTCAAATGTTCTCGCAATAAGAAATGTTTTCGATTGAACGCTTTCCTATATATATCTATATATATATATATATATATATATATATCTATATATATATATATATATATATATAATAAAGAAACAATTCAGTGATCACACAACTTAAATGTATTTTTGTCGAAATACATATAATAGTTGATTAAAGAAATTAATACATATGATACTTGATTAAAGAAACAATTTGAAAGAGACACACATATGATCCTTTACATAAGATAAATGTTGTGACACCTTTATTTTAAACAATATACAACTCAATTAATTTCGCAATAGGATTTGATGGGGCACTCGGATTTCATCCCTTCACTGGTGAGTAGATAATGGAGGTACTTGTAGTGATCAAAATCCTTGAACTGTGGTGGGTGGTCCTCATCAATGAGTTTTTGTGGTATCTGTATATCCAAACCCCTAATAAAAGTAAATTGCCCCAACGAATATCGCTCTTGGTTTCCCTGCATGATAACCCTATGACACGGTGCATGAATTCTTCCATTTGACCATGCCTAAGTGAATGAAAATACCTTAAATGTCACATATGCACAATATATAACATTGATGAATAGTTAATCAACATATTGCTACCTACCATGCAAACGTCACCTGCCATGACTATGAACGATGAAGGCAAAGGATCAACTTCGATCCACTGTCCTTCCTTAGTCTTTATCTGCAGACCCTTTACTTGTTTGTCATGAAGAATTGTCATAAAACTAATATCAGTGTGAGGAAGCATGCCTAGAGGATTTCCCTCATCCTCTTCAGGGCATAAGTACTTCATGAATCGAAGATTTTGAACTGAGGACCCAAGGAGCGTCTCACATTGTTCTTTTATTCCATAGCTTTTTGCTACCATCCGCATCACTATCTGATATAGTTCTGCTACAGCTTTGGAGAACATCAAAGTACTTTTACTGAAAAACCGGTGTTTAATCAAGGAATTATAATTACTAGATGTAATTGAATTAAGACGTAAAATAAGAAACTATACCCAAAATTTTCATTTCCAGAAGGCCACATGAGTTTTGTGAAGAATTCAACTCCTTCTGTAGTTGTTGCGTTCTCAATGCCTATGCTTTCGTAAAGAGGCATGATGGGAGTTTTACCACTGTAAGCATGATATGGTGTATCTGAAGTGCTTAGGACTTTGACTTTCGTAGGAAGATCAAATACATCTCGTGATGCAAGGAAAATCGCGTCGTCAAGTTCCTGAGACACGCCGTCGTACGTGGCTATGAAAACCCCGTGTTCTTCAAGCGCATGCATAGCTTCACTACATGTTGTGTTCCATGAACTTGAGTTAGGGATTAGGTTTTTCAACGAAAAGTCGATAACAGATAGCTTCGGTGGTGTCATCTCTTTTCAAACCTTGGATATCTTTTACGATGTATTTTTCTGTCTTCATATCTATTTGGTTTATATAGTTGGAAAACGGATTTTATGTATGTCCCATATTCCGTATATAAGATATTTCTATGCCTTTTCATTATTTGACAATACACGTTTTTCTTTGAGGAAACGGTACGCACAATTTAAGTTACGGATATTAATTAATGCACGTAATCATGCCTAGAAGAGATTATTTTTATAATTACTAAAGAAAGTCATTGCTAAAACGAGACTTTTACCAAAAACAGGTGATTATCAATTTTATATCCCAAGCCACGATAGTTCCAATTCTAAATACAAAAGTATGGTAATCTTGTAGACCCCAGCTATCCATTTTATGTTGAAAAAATAAATCAAATCCATTACTAATTTACCAAATGGCCCTTATCGTCTTCTCATCCCTTCTATCGTCATCACGAGTCTACTTCTTACTCGTCACATCTCTATCCACAGGCGATCTCCACCTGCCAATCTCCGACTTTGTCTTCCTTAATTTTCCTATTCGTTTCTACCAGCAACCACCTCCTGCTATCTCCGATCGACACCTTCTCATCTTCTTTCCATCTTCATATCTCACTATCTCGAGCAGCCACAAGATACAAAACACTTAATATTGTTTTGGTTTCATAAAACACGACACTTAGGGAAAGGTATCTACACAGGGCAGTTTGGATTATAACAGAGTTGTGGATGTGATGTGTGGATTTTCTTATTCGATTTTATTTTTATTTTTTTTATTTTAGTAAAAACAATTACTAAATCAATTAAAATCATATTATAGTTCAATACATATTAACGGAAGACAAACGGGCAACAAGTTGTGCCACTAGTCCTTTCTGGATAACAAAACTAATTCTTTTGAAAACGTTTGTGGATTTAGGAGATATAACATTAAAATGCATGATCCTTTGGACTCTGTTGAGGAGCTCCACCGCCTTTAGTGCGAGAAAACAAAATGTATCAAAATACAAAAGGTACAAATACATGTTGATTTTCTATACATGTATTCTCGTGCTTTGCTACTTTGCACGCAACGGCTTTCAAAGCGGCATGCCCTGCTGTGAAACCACCGCTCCTCAAACTGACGAGAGAAGAGACCCTAGTAAGATCCACACAAGCGTGCTTCCCTCCTACCTATCCAAAGACCAAAATGTTAGCCGACTTGAGTGTGCATCTTCCATCCTGCGGGTCCGTCAAAAAGTTCACTAGCGTTTCTTTCTTCACGGAAATACCAGCACACCGACAAGCATCAAAGAGAACATCCATAACCACATCATGTCGGTACTTAAAACCAGGGGAGCTCTCTACAATGAACCGCATGTTCCCCAAAAGTGTCCAAACATGCCTTGCGGAAAACTGAGCATATCTCGTCAATTGGGAATAGAGGAATCATAAGGCGGTAACGAAGGATAGTTCGGTACTCCACAGGAGACAAATGCTGGACGAGGTCATCAATAGGAATAGTTAGCAGAAAATCCTGAGCATGAGGTGCGCGAAGACACTCAAAACTGCTTTATGTCTAACAGTCATGTCGAAGTCGACTTCCATATCTTTGACGATTTTGCTAAAAAGGGCACACGCCAATGCTTTTTGGGATTTAGGGGGGGGGGGGGATAAGTTAAAGAACATAGGTAATCAGAGTCCATACCATATATGCCACTGTCATGTAAGATGTGGTCTTGTAATGTCCAAGATTGGGCCCTCGAGTCTACAAATGCGTAGGAGGAAACTTCGTATGCTGAGTACAAACCCAAACCACCGAAACGAATAGGTAAGGAAGCCAGGCGCCACTGGATGTCTCCAAAGAAGGGGCCTCCACATACCACCATATCCTCGATAGACCCGCACAATCCTTTTTCAAAGAACAAAGTTGCCTCTTCTATGTGCACCAGTTGGCATGTCCTTAAACCAAAGAAAAGTTTAGCAATGGCCATACATGATCATAGCAAAAGGAGCTCACTCTACGGGTCACATAGTTGTGGAAGAAGACCCATCAAATCAACAACATTAACCGCTCTCTTCATTGCCAACCCACTAATAAACCCTGCGTCTCTGCTAACACCCCCTCCCAAGGAGCTTCACCCCCAAAGAAGGTCTCCCTATATCTGTTGGGAATAGATCGGAACGAAGCTTCATACCATCACATGATCATGAGGGCCAATAAATCTTCGTTTTCTAGATGTTCAACTCAAGACCCAAGCTTAGACCATTCACCCGAATAATGATTAACACTCTAGCCATCTCTTATGAATCCTCAATGACAGTCCCATCATCTAGATATCAAGCATGGAGAAGGAGCTTTCAATTGTCTCTAATCTTGTGCACAAGCGGGTGCAAAACGAGGGCAAAAAGAAGAGGACCCAAGGGGTCACCTTGCTGCACCCCAGTGGCAGACCATATATGTTGGTCTCCTATATAAAGTCTCGCTGCTTGCCCGTATAAGAAATTCACCCACAAAGAAATAGAAGGGCACATCCTCCTAACCTCGTGGAGCAAGGCTGATCTATCCACCAGGTTAAAGGCTGATCTTATTCGAATTGTTCCAAACAAAACCCACCGTTGATGTATGTGTTTGCGTTTTGAATAACAGGCGGTGGGCAATGAGTTTCTTCTTTCTTAAGAGTGGCAATGGTCGGCGCGGTATGTATTTCGTTCAGTCGTTCCTTATTTCTCTTGATTTTTGATGAAATCGATCCAAATGCTATGAAATCAGCGATTTCTTGTTGAAATCGATGGTTTATTGTTGAAATCGGTGATTTATCCTCCACAGTTGATGAAAATGTTTGTTGATTTCTTAATAGAACATGAACAACGATGCGTTTCTTTTCCTTCCCTTCGTTCCTCTATACTGTGTTTTTATCTCTATCTATACTTTTCTTTAAACTTTTTTTCTTTGCCTCAACGTTTGTTCTTTGTGTTTTTTTTTCAATCAAAGAAAAGGATATACAAGGATTTTCGTGATGGACAATTTATATATGTTGATGATATAGCAGAGGCATTCCACCAAGATCCACTACTTTCTTTGCTTCAATTTGGTGGTAGGTGGGTGAATAGGGTTAGTGAATAGAAGTTGATGCTGTCGTGAAGGCTGTGGTGATGATGATAAAGATCGATGATAGGTGGATGCTTGGTAATGGTGTATGATGGCGATGGGGATGATGGTTGCGTGTGATGAAGAGGGTAATGGGCTTTTGGATGTTAATGGTGAAGATGTGGCTGGAGCACGGTTCTAAATGGCGTGAGGCGTAGTGTGGTGGCAAGGCCAAACCTCAAGCTTAACGAGCCATGGCGAACCATGGTGTTTTTCAAGGCGTGATGTAAGGCGGCGATTTTGTATTAATTTAAAATTATATTATCACATAAATATAAACTTATATCAAATATAGCTACTATTTAGAAGTGTTAGATCAATAACTAATAACAAAAACTTAATAAAAAACACAATACTTGAATCTCTGATTAGAAAAGACATAACAAAGAGTAAAAAAATGTGTCTCAAACGAAAAAACACGCGCCATGGCACGCCATATCACGCCTTGCCACGTGTTACACCTAACAACAACGTTATGAGGTTTTTCGTAACGGCGAAGCCACGCCTTACACTATGGCACGCCTTGGCGCACCTTTTAGAACACTGGACTGGAGTAAGGGGATAATGGGTGGATTGATAATTCATAGTCAACTATGTGATGTATGTATGCTAAAATTTAAGGTTCTTGATGCAAAAGTTGTACAAGAAGCTCTTCTTCTCAATATGAGCTTCATGGTCGCCAATTGATGGTATTGGTGAGACGAAAATGTCTAGATTAGCAACGTTTTTCATTCACATGTTCAAGAGCTAAAATGATATGTGGACATAATGAAGAGGCTATTGAGAATATGCTCTTCAAAGGTCTGGTGTTAATTTTTAGCATCCTACTCGAATGAAGAAATTTTGACTTTTTTGATAATCGAAGTATCAAAATTAATTCAATTTGGCCACTGAAAATATGATCACGATAAATTGGACCTTAAATTCTGAGTTTTAACTCGTTTTGCTATTTACGACCTCCTGTAGCCGGTTGGTTACATGGTTTTCCCGCCTATGTGGCATCCTAAATAAGACTCTAAACTTATGATCATTACAAATTAGATCCCGAACTTTGAAAAAAATTTAGAATTTTTTTTTATTAAAATTAAACTTTTTTTAAGTCAAAAGTAAACTCGGTTTTAAGTTTTTTTTTGCGTATTTCATTTTATTTTATTTTTCGTATTGGTTTTATTTATTTTTCGTTTTTTTTTGTTATTTTCATCAATTTGATAATTTTTCTTTTATATTTTTCAAAAGTGTAAAGTGTATGAATATATAAGAGTATATTATAAATTTTGGCATTTGAGTTTTTTTATTCTATATTTTTATAAGTTTCGTTATTTATGGTTTTTCTAATGTTATTTTTATTTTTATTTTTTTTATTTTGATTCGAGCATAAGTTCAAAATAATGAAGAAAATATAAAAGTTGGATGAAAATTACAAATACTATATGCTAGGGCTCAAATATGTAATTTACTAAATTTTACGTAGGCTTAATATAAATAATTGTTAAATAAGGTTATACATGATAATAACCACAATATATGTTTTCAATTGTTTGTTATAAAATTAGAATAAATAGAATTACATATAAATGCTTACTAAATTTATTATTTTTGGTGTAAACTTAATGTCAACATGAATAAATAAAGAACGAAAAACATAAATAAATATAATTTTTTTTAAAGATTTAATTTTTTTTAACTGAGTTTAGTTTTACCCAAAAAAAAAAAAAAAAAAAAACTTAAAACCAAGTTTAGTTTTAATAATTAAAAGAAAAAAATCAGAGTTCGGTTTTCAATTTTAAGATAATCACAAGTTCAAGGTCTAATTTAGGATGTCATATAGGCATATGATCCTGATAAATGGCTACATGAGGTTGTAACAGGCAAAACAAGTCAAAACTCAAATTAAGGATCCAATTTTGGTTGATTAGATCTTCAGTTGCTAAAGCGAGTTATTTTTGAGACTTTGATGGTAAAAAAAGTCAAATCTCCTTATTTTTAAAGCACTCTACTTTTAAAGTTCAGACCTATTTAAAGCATTACATACCATTTTTAGGATTCTTTTTGGAGTATGATGTCGTAATAAGGAAAATGAAAATCTTGAAAGTATAATGTTGTAATTGAAAGAAATAATACAAAATAAAATGAATATTTTTACCATTTAACACAACAATTAGAAGGTTCCAACCAAACATTTTAAAAACTCAGATCTTAAAAAGAAAATTTCAAGTCTTTATAAAAATTCAAAGCTCTTAAAAATTTAAATCATGCCAAACAGCCCTTAATGGTACTAAAGTCCATAAGTTTACACGTTAATTTTTAATTTACCCATTTCTTTTTGTTATATATTTGCCATTAATTTAAAAAAAACCATTTCTTAAGTTTTAGTAGCTGACCAACAGGTTATCATTGATATGAAATGTATAAATGAGACGAAACTGCTGACGTGACATATTGATTCAATACAAGAATAACTATCTAAGGGGACGACATCCTAACGACAGATGTCGTCGCTAGAAGCAAGGCTATACCAACGACAAGTCGTCGGCATCACTTTTGCCAACTTTAACCAATCTAGTTTGACCGGAAACGTTATGCATACGACATCGTTGACATAGCTTCCGCGGGAAACGAAAACGCGGTTTTCTGAAATTCTATGCCGACGACATGTCGTCGGTATATGTTCGAAGAGTTGGAAGGAAACCAAGCATCAACAATAATTTATTTCCAAACGTAATAAAGCTTCCACATCTCGATTTTCAGATAATTCCCAAGTCATTAACCCAACAAGTGCAACAACAAACGCAACAAATGCAATATATGCAACAACAAATGCTACAAATCCAACAAATGTATAATAACGCATTTGCGTCCTTAATTCCTAACTTCCAACCATTGCGACAATTTACCCAAAATACCCCCGGGACCCAACCAACGAACCCGAGGACAACGAGAACAATGAAGATTTTGATTGATCTTTTTGTTATTTTGAACATGAAGACTTGTTTTGTTTTTGTTATTTTTTGTATGTATGGTAGATTTTGACGTCTTATGGTTATTAAATGTTTGATATTATTTTGCATGTACACTGTATATATATATTGGGTTTGTTTTTAAAAAACAGGTTTTATAAATATAACAAATCTGTGAAAAATATTTTTTTAAAAAAATCTTATACCGAAGACATGTCGTCGGTATAGCTTTTAACAATAAAAACGGTTTGAAACCTTTCAAGCGACATGTCGTCAGCATAGTTATACCCATCCCGACGACAAGTCGTTGGTATAGCTGTCTACAACCTCCTGTAGCCAGTTGGTTACATGGTATTCCCGTCTATGTGACATCCTAAATAAGACCCTAAACTTATGATTATTATAAATTAATTAGTCCCCAAACCTTAGAAAAAAATTTAGAATTTTTTTATTAAGATTAAACTTGTTTTTTTTTTTGCGTATTTCATTTCGTAATAGTTTTATTTATTTATTTAATTTTCATTTTTTTGTGTTATTTTCATAAATTTGATAATTTTTCTTTGATATTTTTCAAAAGTGTAAGTGTATGAAATATATAAAAGTATATTACAGTTTTTGGACTTTGAGTTTTTTTTTTATTCTTTTTTGTTTATAAGTTTTGTTATTTATGGTTTTTCTAAAGTTTTTTTTATTTTGATTCGAGCAAATGAAAAAAATTATAAGTTCAAAAGAATGAAAAAATATAAAAAAAAAGTTGGATGAAAATTACAAATATAAATATACTAGGCCTAAAACATGTAATTTACTAAATTTTAGGTAGGCTTAATATAAAGAATTGTTAAATAAGGTTATACATGATAATAACCACAATATATGTTTTCAACTTATATAAATTGTTTGTTTTAAAATTATAATAAATAGATTTACATATAAATGCTTACAAAATTTATTATTTTTGGTATAAACTTAATGTCAACATGAATAAATAAAGAAAAAAACATAAATAATTATAGAAAAAATAGAAAATATAAAAAAATAAAAAAATAAAACCGAGTTTAGTTTAGACTAAAAAAACAAAAAAAAAACTTAAAATCAAGTTTAGTTTTAATAATTAAAAAAAAAATCAGAGTTCGGTTATCAATTTTAGCATAATCACAAGTTCAAGGTCTAATTTAGGATGTCATATAGACAGACGAACGGAGTAAGTGGCTACATGAGGTTGTAACTGGCAAAACAAGTCAATACTCAAATTTAAGGTCCAATTTTGCTTAATCAGATCTTCACTTGTTAAATCGAGTTATTTTTTATGCATTCTATTTTTGATGTCCCGACCAATTTAAAGCATTACATACCATTTTTAGCATTATACGTTCAGATTCATTTTAGAGTATGATGTGTTAATAAGCAAAATGTTGAAAGTATAATGTTGTAATTGAAAGAAATGATACAGAATAAAATGAACATTTTTATCATTCAACACAACAATTCAGAGGTTCCAACTAAACATTTTAAAAATTCAGATCTTAAAAAAAATCAGGTCTTTTTAGAAATTCAGAGATCTTAAAATTTTAAATCATGCCAACCAACCCTTAATGGTACTAAAGTCCACAAGTTTACACGTTAATTTTTATTTTACGCATTTATTTTTGTTATTTATTTGCCATTAATTTAAGAAAAAACAATTTTCTTAAGTTTTAGTAGCTGACCAGTAGGTTATCACTGATGTGACATGTATAGATGAGATTGAACTGCTAACGTGACATATTGATTAGATCGTCACATCAACACGTATATTAAAAAAATAAAGCAACTAACAATGAGATTAAAACAAAACTGTTGGAGCCAAGGTTCAAACTCCCACTGCTAAGCTTCATATCATGCACCTTTGCCACTAAACTACGAGCCTTTGGTTGTTTTTCAACACCTTTCCGTTTGAAAGAATCAGGTACTTTGTTGCCTCTTCTCTTTCGTCCCTCTCTTATTTTGGTTAATTTGTCTTTAAGAAATTTATGCTTCTTCTCACTACAAGAAAATAGGGGGTTTTCCTACAGAAAATGGCCACAGAAAATTTTTGTAGCTAATTAGATACGGAATCGCTACGGATCAGCTACATAATGGGATGCCCTAATATAGTAACAGAATAGCTACGGAATAGCGACAAATGCTAATCCATAGCGATTCCGTAGCTAATTAGCTGCGGAATAGCAACAAAGGCTAATATGTAGCTATTCCGTAGCTAATTAGCTACGGAATAGCTACGGAATAGCAACAGATGTTAATAAGTAGCTATTCCGTAGCTAATTAGCTACGGAATAACTACAGACTAGCGATAGAAGAAAATGGCTACAGAATAGCTACGAAACACTGACAGATTTATAATTTCCAATATTATTATTATTATTACCATTAATATTATTTTTCATTATTCGAGTCTTAATTTTTTTTTGTATCATTTTTCTTACATATTTAAGACAAGAACAATTAAAAATCATACTAATAATACTATTAATAATAATATTTATAAATATCATAATAATATATAATAATTGTAACGAATATGTTTAACACACAAACAAACGATTAAACGAAAAAAACTACGTTTAACACATCAATAAGATTAAATAATCTATGTTTAATTTATAAATAATGAAAATGATGATAATAAAGGGAAATATGTATATTTGTATTTGTATGTATGTATTTATGTATGTATGTATGTATGTATGTATGTATGTGTATGTATGTGTATGTACGTATATGTGGGTGCGTATATATGTAAATGTATGTATGTATTTTTATGTATGTATGTATGTATGTATGTATGTATGTATGTATGTATGTATGTATGTATGTGTATGTGTGTGTATGTTGTGTATTTGAATGTGTATGTGTATGTGTATATGTATGTGTAGCTATAATTTAGCCACGGGCCATTATGCTACATGCATTTTTCCATAGCAATTCCATAGTTATCCGCTTATAGCTACGGAATAGCTACAGATTGTGCTTGTAGTTATTGCACCAGTTTTCTAGTAATGTCTTTTCTTCATGTTTACGGTTATTGACTAATTTTTTCACAATATTGACAAAGAAATGAATGATGAAAACTTGGGTTTGTGTTTCCATTTCAAGTATGTTCACATATTTATGTGTAGTCTTGCATCTCTTCTTAAAATTTAGTTTTACTATGTTCTTATATATAATAATTTTTGCTTCATTGGATATTGTATTAATTATTGATTTCTTAGAACTCGAAATGAAAGTTTTAGTTATCGAAATTAGTTATTGGTTTCTTACAAGAGGAGTGATTTTATGATAAAAGATAAACATATTTGCATTTTTCCTGCATATATAATAATTATATGTGACAAACTTAGCATGACCTAATGGTGGTAATCAAAGCTTATGTCGTAGTTGTAACACCTTTATTTTGAAGATGTTTACACAACTTATATGTATTTATTCTATAAATACTATTTGAATAGAGAAAAAACTTGAAAGAGACATGCATATGATCCAACAAACATGTGGTGGCATCTTTATTTTGAACAATTACAGCCTCAATTATGATGGGGCACTCTGATTTCTTCCCGACGTTGGTGTATCGATGGTAATGGATGTACTTGTAGTGATCAAATTCCTTAAACCTTGGTGGGTGGTCTTCATCAATGAGTTTTTGAAGTATCTGTATGTTCAGACCCCTAATAAAAGTAAATATCCCCAGCGAATATCGCTCTTCTTTTCCCTGCATCATAACCATGTGATACGGTGCTTCGATTCTTCCATTTGTCCATGCCTAAGTGAATGAAAACACCTTAATTTCTTACATATATATGCACAATAACATTGATGAATAGTTAAATCAGTATATATTGATACATACTGTTGAAAATATGTTATATTTTTACAATCTCATATTTATTAGAAAGTAATTTATTATAAAGGGTGCATTGTGTAAAGATTGTGTTCTGCAAGGGGGTTGAGTGTATGCATGTTCTTATGGAAACACGCGGGTTGTAATTCGGGTCAAGTTGGTTCGGGTTATGTCCATATTTTGGGATCCAGAGTATAAAGAAAGAGAGAGAAGATGTTGGGGTCATTCGTTCAGTTGAAGAGATCAAATCTAGGGTTTTCTCTCTTGAGGGTTCTTTGATGTTAGATAATTTTTTGCATCTATTTTGTCGATCGTGTGTTCATCTATTAGAGTTCTGTAACTAACTCTTTATCAAAGTATATTGTTTAGAAGTTGTTCAGGTTGAGTGAAAGATTGAGAGATTTTTGTAGTGAGTTTTGAGTTGTAAGTAACTTGAAAACCACTTGTTTCTTGATCCTCAAATGATATGAGAAATGGTGATGTTGGGAAATTTGTCTTGTGTGTTTTTAACACATACCATGCAAACATCGCCTGCCATGACTATGAACGATGAAGGTGAAGGATCAACTTCGATCCACTGTCCTTCCTTAGTCTTTATCTGCAGACCCTTTACTTGTTTTTCATGAGGAATTGTCATGAAACTAATATCAGTGTGAGGAACAACACCGAGAGGATTTCCCTTGATCGTCCCCCTGAGGGCATAAGTACTTCATGAATCGAAGAACATGAACTGAGGACTCAAGGAGCGACTCACAAATTTCTTCTATTCCATAGCTTTTCGCTACCATCCACATCACTATCTGATATAGTTCTGCTACGGCTTTGGAGAACATCAAAACACTTTTACTGAAAAACCGGTGAATCAAACGAATTATAATTACTACATATATATTGAATGTAAGACGTAAAATAAGAAACCATATATATACCTAAAATTTTCATTTCCAGAAGGCCACATGAGTTTTGTGATTTTTTCAACTCCTTCTGTAGTTGTTGCGTTCTCAATGCCTAAGCTTTCGAAAAGAGGCATGGAGGGAATTTGCTCAGTGTAACCATGATATGGTGTGTCTGTAGTGTTTAGGAGTTTAACTTCAAGCGCATACATAGCTTCACTGCATGTTGTGATCCATGAACTTGAGTTAGGGATTAGGTTTTTCAACGAAAAGTCGATAACAGAAAAGCTTTGGTGGTGCCATTTTTTCAAACCTAGGATTCTAATACGATGTTATCTTCAAACCAATTTCTTATATATATATATATATATATATATATATATATATATATATATATATATATATATATATATATATATATATATATATATATATATATATATATAGTTGGAAAAAGATTTTTTCTGTCATATTTGACATATATATGCACATTACGTGATGGATATTAATGCACGTTTGCATATGCCTAGAAGAGATTGCAAAACTCAAGCAAACGCGTTGGTCCCATACCAAACCCAATTTTGGTCCCATTCCGAAAGCAATGCAATAACCGAGATTTCATTCAGTTAAACGTTACGTGTGAATCCACACGTGTTTTTTCCATGGAGTGTTGTTGCTAAACTGTGACTTAAGTTAACTATTTAAACAAATTTTATAAAATTAACAAAAACCCATTATATATATATATATATATATATATATATATATATATATATATATATATATATATATATATATATATATTATATACTATTAGGGTGCCCGCGCGATGCAGCAATGAAAAATAATTTATTTTGGTGATTAGTAAGGATATAGCAACAACTAGTACCGAATCCTTATCCCGTATCGGTGGCATGCCAGAACCGATACCAAATTTATGATGGTACTCGGTACTCTTATATTATCAAATTTAGGATTCGATATCGTCGTATAGAAAACGGGTACCAGATACAGTAATGTTTGTTCGGTTCGGTGCTCGGTATCGTTTTTTATCCATTTTGGCATTCAAGATTCTCGTGTCGGTACCGATTCCGTCCAATTTTTATCTCTAGTCATTTGTTTTCTTCAAGATGTTTTGAATAAAACAAATATACATTGCTAAATCCAAATGAACACTAAAATATATAAAAGTCACTGTTACAAAATCAAATAAAAATGTTTAATAAATAAACCGTCTTTAATAAAATCAACGAAACTTATGCATTGTCCAAGAGTATTAAAACTTTCCGTACATGTTATACTACCTACTTGACAATAATTATTCAACCTAGAGAAAAATAACATATCTCAACTAATTCGAACAATAATAAACTAACATCAGATTTATTTAAACTCCAAATCATCATGGAGGGAAAATCGTCCAAATTTACCAATTCTCAAAACAGTAGAAAATCTATAAAACATCTCATTACCACGGAGACCTCTAACATTAACATCCAAATTCATCCACAAACTTGGTAATATAAGTAAACAACTAAATTTGATTCTCACGCTAGATGATTAAATTTAATCTTGTGTTTTGATCTTGTCTTTTTAGTCTTCTTGCCAATCAAGCCTTCAACAGTTCTTCTCAATATTTCGGTCGCTATATAGTCAGTTTTCTTGATTCAAGTCTCAAGAGTCAAGCAATCAACAACCAATCAAGATACTTAATTTCTGTCAGCTGTAATGGGAAGCAAACAATTAAAAAGATCAATGAAGCATGTATATATTTCATATACACACACTTCAAAGGACCTGTAAAACATAACCACAACCATCACATGTTATAACCTTACCTTTGAAGTGTTGACACAGAAAGAAACAAAAGAGTAAAGGACAAACTTGAAAACCAAAGGTCTATTATGTAGCTATCACTTAAAAAGGAAAATGTTTTTATAATGGTACTTTGTTGTGTTAAGCTTTCTGAACCCAAATCAGTAGAAAAAAATAGTGATAAGCTTTTAATTTTTCTAGTCTTCGTGTGATCAAGACGTAACACATCAACCTCAACATTTTTAGCAAAAACACATATTAACATATATAAACTACGACATGAAAACCAATAAAAGATTGAACTGAAACTAATTTTGCAATAAAAAAATACAAACATTGTACCAAATAGTTTGTTTGAATCTTAGATCCATTATAAACTAAACCTTCAGATTTGATCACTTAAACTAAAAACTGCAGATGTGATGGCATTTTAGAAGCAAATCTGAAGTAAAACATACACAAAACACAAACATACAACAAATTAAGTACAAGAAGTAGTGGGTCTTTTAAAAATAGAAATATATTTGAACTGATACAAGATTCTTTCAGCTTAATCAACTTCAACATTCTCTTCATTTACATTTTTCAAAGGCGTAATTGATTTGAAATAAACAAAAATACTTTTGAACTAATACAACACTTCTTGCCATGTTCAAGCCTCAATAATTCGGGTTCAAATGATTCTCAAAGCTGGATTGTTGACTCAGGAGCCAATCAACATATGATAGCTTCTGAGTCACAACTTAGAGATGCTGTTTTAACTTCTGTTTTTCTAATAAATAGAATGCCCACCTCTGTCTTAAATGGTCAATCACCTTATGAACTTGTTTTTCAAAGAATTCCTAGTTTTGATCATTTAAGGGTTTTTGGTTGTCTATGTTTTGCTGTTAAGCCAAATGTTTCTGATAAATTGTCTGAACGTGCTGAAAAATGTATTTTTCTAGGATATTGTTATGATAAAAAGGCTTATAAACTTCTTAGTTTGGATACTAATTCTTCTTTTGTATCCAGGGATGTGAAATTCTATGAATATGTTTTTCCATACAAGTTAAAATCAACTTCTGTTGATAATGTTTCAAACAATTTTGGCCCCAGTGATCCTTTTTCCTATGATGAATTTAATAATAATGAATATATAAATGATTATATTAATCTTGATGAGCTGAGAGTAGAGTCCCAGTTGGATGGCGCTGATGCAGCCATTAGTGTGGATGATGTTGATTCTAGTAATTCTATCAACCATGGTGGCGAGGCAAATATGCCTCCTACTGGTTCATCTGTTCCTTCTTCTTCGAGTGTATCTGAGGAAAGTAGTCAGTCTGTCTTAACCCCTTCTATGGATCAGTCTGTAGGTGTCTCTAGGTCTAGGCATGAATCTCATATGCCTGTTAAGTTTGCTGATTATGTTGTTGAAGGAAAATATAAATATGGTATTGAGAGATCTGTTAACTATTCTTTTCTTGATCCTGAAACTAAATGTTTTGTTTCTAATCTCAATAAAACTGTTGAACCTAAGAGTTATAATGAAGCCTTTTCTGATCCAAATTGGATTAAAGCTATGAATGATGAAATGGAAGCACTTCATCGAAATCATACATGGGAAATAACTAATTTACCTAAAAACAGAAAACCAATTGGGTGTAAATGGGTCTATAAGATTAAATACAAGTCAAATGGTGAAATTGAGAGATATAAAGCTCGTTTAGTTGCTAAAGGTTATAATCAAAGAGAGGGGATTGATTTTGAAGAGACTTTCTCTCCTGTTGCAAAAATTGTAACAGTTCGTATTGTTATTTCTCTCTCTGTTCATTATTCTTGGCCTTTATATCAGTTGGATATTAACAATGCTTTTTTATAAGGTGATCTTACTGAAGATGTTTATATGTCACTTCCACCTGGTTACTATTCTAGTAATGATACTAGAGTATGTAAACTTACTAAGTCTTTGTATGGACTAAAGCAAGCTCCTAGAAAATGGAATGAAAAACTTTGTGCTTCATTGTTTATGTTTGGTTTTCGACAGAGTATAAGTGATTATTCATTGTTCATTAGGAAAGTTGAAGGTTCAATAACTGTGTTATTAGTATATGTTGATGATATTATTTTGACTGGAAATAGTGAAATAGAGTTACAAAAGGTGAAATCTTTTATGAATAGTCAATTTTTAATCAAAGATCTTGGAACTCTTAAATATTTTTTAGGCATTGAAGTGGTTAAATTTGACAGTGGTTTATGTTTAAACCAAAGGAAATATTGTCTTGAGTTATTACATGAATATGGTATGCTTGGTTGTAAACCTGTGAACACACCTTTGGAAACAAATTTTGTTATAAATTCTGGTAATCATGATGGAAAAAATGAAGTGTTGGAAAATAAAACTGAATTTCAAAAATTGATAGGTAAACTTATCTATCTTACAGTTACAAGGCTTGACATTTCTTATGCAGTTCAGGTTCTTAGTCAGTATATGCATAATCCTAGAAAATCACATTTAAATATTGCTTTCAGGTTGTTAAGGTATTTAAAAAATAGTCTTGGAAAAGGAGTTGCTTTAACTAGGTCTAGTGTGTTTAAATTAAAAGGTTTTGTTGATGCAGATTGGGCTAAGTGCTTAGCCACAAGAAGGTCTGTATCTGGATATATGGTATATCTTAATAATTGTCTTATTTCTTGGAAAAGTAAGAAGCAGTCTACTGTTTCTAGGTCTTCAACTGAATCAGAATATAGGGCTCTTGGTTCTATCACATGTGAAATAATTTGGATCTTAAAAATTCTGTTTGAACTTGAAGTTAAAAATCTTATCCCTGCTTTTGTTTTTTGTGATAATAGTTCCACAATTAAGTTGGCTCTTAATCCCGCGTTTCATGAAAGGACAAAACATTTTGAGATAGATCTGCATTTTGTTAGGGAAAAAATTTCTAGTGGTGTTTTGAAATTGGTAAAAATTGATTCTTTTGAACAAAATGTTGATATACTCACAAAATCTTTAAGTGTGAAACAACATGATTTTTTGACTAATAAAATGGGTCTTATTAATGTTTTTAGAAAATAAATATTTCAATTGAGGGGGATGTTGAAAATATGTTATATTTTTACAATCTCATATTTATTAGAAAGTAGTTTATTATAAAGGGTGTATTGTGTAAAGATTGTATTCTGCAAGGGGGTTGAGTGTATGCAGTTTCTTATGGAAACACGCGGGTTGTAATTCGGGTCAAGTTGGTTCGGGTTAGTCCATATTTTGGGATCCAGAGTATAAAGAAAAGGAGAGAAGATGTTGGGGTCATTCGTTCAGTTGAAGAGATCAAATCTAGGGTTTTCTCTCTTGAGGGTTCTTTGATGTTAGATAATTTTTTGCATCTATTTTGTCGATCGTGTGTTCATCTATTAGAGTTCTGTAACTAACTCTTTATCAAAGTATATTGTTTAGAA